AAAAGCCTTAACAAAGGACCAGGACCCAGTGAGATCCCCGAGAGCCCCAGGTGGCTGTGAGTTCAGTGCCTGAGAACGGGAGAGGGGTTGTCTTTGGTCCAGACATACATATCAGTTACTAAAAATGTTTTTAAAAGTTTTGCTTGTCTTCTAAGATCCTGATTCCCTTCATACAAGTGTATAATGTTGAAGAGGGGGAAGCCACAGAGATGGGATTTATTGATTTCCACAGAGGCTTTGTAATATGTTGTGCTATGGCAATCCCTTTCCTAATTCAGTGGTCCCAAGTTTCCACAGAAAATCCCGATGCCTAAATCCTCGCTGGCTGGGAATAACGTCTGCAGTATTGAATTAAGTGGTTTGCCATTCTTTAAGTTGGAATAATTTATTTAGAAAAGGAAGTTTGGATTGCGTGCCTTAGCAGCATGCCAGAATCAAACACCCAGATACCGGTAACACCCCACATGTTTGGGAACGTTCCCAACTGGATCAAAAGCTGATATTATTTTTACAGGGAGGGACCAGTCCTGGATAGTAAAGCTCTGTTAACAAGCAGGTTACTATGCGGGAGTTGGTAAATATATAATGAACGGATATTCTTTTAAAGAAAAAAATGCTTGTCAAATACACCTATGAATACACTAAGACCCCTTACAAGGCCCTATCAACATCTGCAAACACACTGTTAGCCAACACAACCCATAAAAGTATCAGGCCTAAGAGTGCCTGTGTCTCCCTTGAACACTCCGCTCAGTACAAGCCTGGGAAACCAGATGACGGTTGCAAGGGGATTCCAGTTGGTAAGTCAAGCCACCTGGTTGGAAGTCTACAGCACAGCTCAGAGCTGCAGAATGGACGCCTTCGAACCAAACTATGGGAGGATAAAGCCAGCAACTGGATACAAGGTGGAAATGTAAAGGGATTGGGGGGGGAGTGGCCACAGGAATACAGTTACAATAGGAGACTCCAAACGTGGAATTGTTCAATGAATAAGTTAACAGGGGCCAAGAAGCAGAGGTGAAGAAAGAAGACTGGGGGGGGGGATATTCTCCTTGAATTGAAAATGAAATGTGGTTACACAGAAATGCATATTTCAACTGGGGCAAAGACCTCATAATTACAAAAACATGCATTTGGAGATTACTTTATATATACCTTATGTAAAGTCAAGATTACACATACGCACAGACACATACACACACACAAACAGAAAAAGGAAACCTGGAGGAAATGTTAAATGTAACACAAAGATGGATAAGAAGTATTTAAAAGAAAATACTGATGGATAAACTTGAACCAGGAAAGCGATATTACACAAAAGTATCCAATATTGCCAGTTGCTCTTCAGTCTTCTGCAACGAGGACAGAAGAAGAGCCCTGCTGGGTCAGACTGAAGGTTTGTTCGTCTCGAATCTTGGTTCTCACAGTGGTCAGCTTGATCAGGAGACCCACAATCGCCTCCCCTGTCCTTCTCCACTCCTCCCGCCTGCAAGTGGCACTCAAAAGGTATCCTGCCACTGAAAAAAGAAGTTTCATGACTCCCCAACATAGTACCCATGGGTGCCAGAACACCCACTGACACCTTTCCTGAGGCCCACCAATTGTTTTGGGAGAGCAGATGGGTCCAGATGGGACTTATGCCTAGCGGGATTTCTTACTGGCCACTGGGGATCTTGTGTGGATTTTTTTTAAAAAACATTGCTTTGACAGCAGCTGCCACCACAGCACAAGAATCATCACTGCATAACTAAAGGTAAGCTGTGTGTACGTAATAAAATATTTTTAAACAATGTGCTCATTTTAAAAGTCTTCCAATTAAGCAGAACTTCTAGAGATGCCAGCCTCCAGGTGGGACCCGGGGACCCCCTGGAATTATTGCTTATCTCCAGACTACAGGGATCAGTCCCCCTGGAGAAAACAGATGCTTTGGGGCATGGGGGTACTGTACCCCATTGAGGTCTCTGTCCTTTCCAGGTTCCATCCCAAAATCTCTAGGAGTTTCCCAAGCTGGATCTGGCAACCCTACCCACCCATTCTTTGCTGGTGGCCAGGGGGGGACCTGGCAACCCTATACCTCAGTGAGACCCCTCCCCTTCCCAAACCCAGCCCTCCCCAGGCTCTGCCCCCAAAATCTCCAGGTGTTTCTCAACCCAGGGCTGGCAACCCTAAGAGTTCCTGCCCAAAATGTTGAAAATTTGCTATTAGAATTAAGCATACCTTCACTGCCCGACATTTTGTGGCTGGCTCTGCTTCCCGTGGCAGCCATGTTGCGGTTGTACCCACCAACCTGTGTTAAAATCCCGAAGGTGCCCACAGACTCAGAAAAGTGGGGACCATTGCATTAGACCCTGCCCAACAGCTCAGACAGACCTGTCCTCCATGGGTTGGACCCTACCAGCTTTCCCACAGTACAAGAGGGAGCAGAGGCAATCTTGCCAGATCCTCCTCCTTGGTGCTGTCCTCACTGTCCTCGCTCCCAGCTCTGTTTGTCATAACAACAGGGGGAAAGGAAATTCCTACGGGGAGGGGAGTGATAGAGGTATGTGTGAACCGTTGGCTCTTAGCGGCATAACTTTCCCAAGGATGACACCTCCCTCTCCCCATGGGGGGCGGGGTGCCTGAAGCCTGAAGCCTGATTTCTTTGTAGATAGTGGGATGCTACCTTCCATCCCAGTTTAGAGAGCCAGTTTGGTGTAGTGATTAAGTGCACGGATTCTAATCTGGGAGAACCGGGTTGGATTCCCCACTCCTCCACTTGCACCTGCTGATGTGACCTTGGGTCAGTCACAAGCTCTGGCACAGCTGTTCCTGAAAGAGCAGTTTGTGTCAGAGTTCTCTCAGCCCCACCTACCTCACAGGGTGTCTGTGGTGGGGAGGGGAAAGGAGTTTGGAAGCCGCTCTGAGACTCCTTTGGGTAGGGAAGGGCGGGATATAAATCCAATCTCTTCTTCTTCTTTTATCTCACAGGGTGTCTGTTGTGGGGAGGGGAAAGGAGTTTGGAAGCCGCTCTGAGACTCCTTTGGGTAGGGAAGGGCGGGATATAAATCCAATCTCTTCTTCTTCTTTTATCTCACAGGGTGTCTGTTGTGGGGAGGGGAAAGGAGTTTGGAAGCCGCTCTGAGACTCCTTTGGGTAGGGAAGGGCGGGATATAAATCCAATCTCTTCTTCTTCTTTTATCTCACAGGGTGTCTGTTGTGGGGAGGGGAAAGGAGTTTGGAAGCCGCTCTGAGACTCCTTTGGGTAGGGAAGGGCGGGATATAAATCCAATCTCTTCTTCTTCTTTTATCTCACAGGGTGTCTGTTGTGGGGAGGGGAAAGGAGTTTGGAAGCCGCTCTGAGACTCCTTTGGGTAGGGAAGGGCGGGATATAAATCCAATCTCTTCTTCTTCTTTTATCTCACAGGGTGTCTGTTGTGGGGAGGGGAAAGGAGTTTGGAAGCCGCTCTGAGACTCCTTTGGGTAGGGAAGGGCGGGATATAAATCCAATCTCTTCTTCTTCTTTTATCTCACAGGGTGTCTGTTGTGGGGAGGGGAAAGGAGTTTGGAAGCCGCTCTGAGACTCCTTTGGGTAGGGAAGGGCGGGATATAAATCCAATCTCTTCTTCTTCTCCTTCCGGGGGGGGGGCAGATGTAGTGGTTAGGTGCGATGAGTGTGACGTGTGTGTGTGTGCCCTGCCATGGGGGAGGAGTCCTATCGAATTACCTATTTATACGATAGGAGTCCTATCGAATAAATCGTTAGTTCTAACACAAAGATGCTTTAACTGGATCTTGATCATTTTTCTCAAGTAACAAATCTTTTGCTAAAGAGAGTGTTGTTGAGAGTAACTCGACCAGGGGTCTGACACTCGTCCTGCGTCGGTTTTTGTCCATGTGGAACCCAAAACTTGGGGGGGGGGAAAGAGTCCCATCCTCTCCTGACCTGGATAGCCCAGGCAAGCCTGATCTTGTCAGATCTCAGAAGCTAAGCTGTGGTTAGTACTTTGATGGGAGACTTCCTTGGAATACCAAGTTGGGAGGACAGAGGCAGGCTTTATTCGGCCACCTCTGAATATCCTCCAAGCCCCCAGTATGGGTCAGTCACCAGAAGTCGCCATTACTTCCATGTGCCAACACACACACAATACAAAAAGAAAGAGTCCCCTCCTCCCTCTTGCACTGGTAGAAAAGATAGTTGGATCTAATGCTATTTATTTGTCTAGCTCCTCTTTAAAGCTGCCTTGTCCACATTTAATGATTTTTATTATTATTTAAGCACTTATGCTGTGACCCAGTATCTTCTCATGCATTGTCTCAGGAATCCTTACAATGACTGGGTGGGAATTCAGCATGTAGATGTATCATCCCTAATCAGTATTCTCTCCATGGAGGAAAATATAAACATTATTAAAGTCCCCCAGTTCCCTTGTTACTTTAATTGGAATGGATGGATGGATGGATGGATGGATGGATGGATGGATGAATGAATGAATGAATGAATGAATGACAGGTCGATCCCCACGGAGGACGATGGAACCATGAAAAAATGTCTATCTACTTTAATTTCATCTACAATCTACAATGTTCAAAATATTCCCTTTTCAGATCTGGCATATGAAGAAGTCACTATAGATATACTAGATTACTTCGAACTATAGAAGTAACATCGTATAAGCTGGAGCTTTCTTAATGTTTATGTTTCAAGTTTTATAATTAGTGGTGGGTGAACTCCTGTTTGCTTCACAGAGAATCAACTCTGTCTTTTCAAGCTTGCTAGAAGAACACTCAGAGCAATGAAAGCATTTTTTTCAGAGTTCTCTCCTAGCTCATAAAATTGGAGCAAGCTCACTGCTACAGTGTTATTGTTTTTAAAAAGACCCCTCAATTTTTTCACCTTTGGCTTAAGATTCACTGTTAGAGATCAGAGGTGTACTTATTTCAAAGCTGATATATTGAAAAGTAATTTTAAAAATTCCACTGGATCCCCTTGAATTAAAGATCCTTTAAACAGCTGATCTTACCCCAATAATGGTGCCGTTAAAAACACAGCCATTCACAGGATCTGTAAGAGAAAATACGGGTTCTATTAGAATCACTGTATAGATGTTTAGTTTAGTTTATTATTAAGACCAACATACAGAGTAAGCATAATATGTGAAGGAGAGAGAAAAAAACAGTCATAATATACAAAAAAAGAAATCTGAATTTAAGAACTTTTAAAATGCAATTCCCACAATCTAAGAATTAATGCACAAAACTCAGTGACTGAATGTGTAATCTCTGCATTCTTATCGGATAGGAGTCAGTGAAGCCTTGCTTTGTTTGTATTAATGTGCCCAGGTGTCCTATTGACTAATGGGGTAAATAATTTTAAGACAAGCCTCCCTGTAAAATGGACAGCTGAAGAACATATGCTCTACCGACTCAAACCTCATTTAAAAGGCATGGGCACACTGTATAGATGGTGGCACCAGGGTAGCTAGGGCTGTTGAGAGCCACTTTGGGACCCCAACAAAGACTCCTTCTGGGGGCCTACTCAGACCCAACCCAAACATCCTGTGAAAGGGTAGTCCTGTCAGCACATGAAAGAAAGTTGAGGGCAAACTGTGGAGCCTCTTCTCTGAGCCACTCCAAGAGTTTTCAGATTTAAGGTACTTTCCAACAGACTACACGTGAAAACTAGAAATTAGATGCCAGCACAGAAATACTGTCTCCCAGTTTTTGTTGGACTCTTTCTACATGTTTACCACAGCGGCATGAGGGACAGCAGCCTGTCTTCCCGTCACAGTGTAGCTCTGTTCCCAACGGGCAACTGGGAGTTTCCATCTGCACACAGGAGATGTTCTTCTCCTGAACAAAGACTTCCTCGTTCATGCGAACACACTCTCTGATGACACATGGGTTCGAGGGGGAGCGCCACTCCGAGCCGACCTGTGGAGGAAAGACACTATGAGAAAAGACACTGCTCCTTCCTTAAGAGGCACAGTAAAGCATCATGGTGTGGCCATTTCCTGCCCCTCCAGAGCTGCAGGAGAAAAACAAAACAGTGAACATCCCCTTCCCTTCCTTGCCATCCACTGGAAAGCAACCTGAGATTCTTCCCAGAAGAGCAGGCAAGAATAGGTGAACTTCGCAAGCAGATCACTGGAGGGGAAGATGCCAGATCTGGCAGAACATCCCCTCGGTCTGGAGCTCTTAAAACGAACAGCAGGTGTTAGACACAGATGACCCTCCAACCCCCTGAATTCCAATTAAAAAAAAATGTCTCTAGTAGCCACATGAAAAGTAGTGCATGAAAAGTAGTGCAGCTAAGCTCTGTGGTTAAATCTGGTCCTCATTAGCATCAGGACACTGTTTCCTATCTTGGGAGTGTGTAATCCATTTCCAAATCTCCCCAAAATTGTGTAGTCAGTTTCCAAATATCAATGGTACATTGATTGACTACCCAGTGACACTGAGGACAGAAAGGAATAAAGAATTGGTATTATGACTTTCTATCAGATATCTAAACTGGGATTAAGGACTGTGTGCATTCTAGGGGCTCAGTATGTTAACAAGCTATGCCAGCTCGAGGCTTGCCAAGTCCCCCCGGGAAACCCCCGCCCCAGAGGCCCGTTTTCCGCCAGCAGCGGATCGGGCCCCAGGGGGACCCCACCCCGACGTGCACGGTCATCCGAGGGAAAACTCTATGTTCGCCAGCCGGGAGTCCCCCACTGCGGCGAAATTCGAACTTGGCAACCCTAGCCAGCTCGTTAACCAACTTATTAAATCAAATAGCATTTCAGCATGGAAGATAACTGAAAAGCATGTGTCTGCTTGTTTTAAAGTCATTTCAGGGAGGAAAAAAACAGGAGGGAAACCATAATGGTTGAAATCCACAAGCTGTGCTGAATTTTCAAGAATAAGAACAATGTAAACTGAAGGGGAGGGGATGGAATGATACTCTACAGACAGATGCAATGCTTTGAGGCATGAGCCAGCCAATTTTAAGCCTTCAAAAAAATCCACTGATTTTAATAAGAGAGTTAAAACATGCATTGAATGCCCTCCCATTGAAGCCAATGGCATTTAAAATTGTTTAACTCTGGCTGGATTGGGCCCATGATCAGTAAAAGCACTTTAAAAATAAAACACCCTTTTTTGTAGGAAGCCATTGTATATCTCCGTCGATTAATGTATTCAAATTTCTGACATTCCCCATTCCAAAACATATGATGGGTGACAATGTAAAACACACACACACAAAATGTGAAAATGAAGCAGCCTTTGGAATCAGTAAGTTTTTACTTTTTCGGTAAAACCTGGAACTCCTTTGCCTTTTAACAGTCATTTAGCAAAACTGAAAGGAAATTATTCCTGTTGTGAATGGCTTCTGTACTCTTCTTGGTTACTTTTGAACCCTAGCCACCGAAGAGCGTTTTCTCTTGCTCGAGTAAATGCCTTTCCATCAAAACTACTGTATGGTAGGTTTCAAAATATTCCTAAGCATGAACGGAGATGTGACTGCGGTTCTAACTCTCTTGATTCAATTGATCACATATTGTTAGACTGTTCGTGGCATGCATCTGCTAGGGAAAAATGGTTAAACACTTGGTTGCATGGTAAACATCACCTTTCCAATGAAATAAAATGCCAATTTCTATTGAACGATGTAACAGCAGAGATTACTGTGGCAGTGGCCAATTTTTTAGTGGACGTGATGAAAGTGAAAAATTTGGGAAAGTCCGTTTCATGATTTTATAATTAACCTAGACTTTTAGTTGATTGTGTCATTTTCTGTCTTTGATTTTAATGTTGTATATGCCATTAAAGGTTTATTGATTGGTTACTTTTGAATTTAACATAATGGTATTGCTCTCCCTGCATTTCACTGTCTTTTAACCTCGACATTTATAATTTGTTTCTTCATAACTTCATATTGCATGCATCTGTCCCATGAGGACACACTACATTCATCTGAAGAAGTGGACTCTAGACCACAAAAGCTTGCGTTAGAATAAAATCTTGTTATTGTTGAAGGTGCCACAAGGCACCTGTTTATTCAGGTTGAAATTAAACAAAAATGTAATGCCTGGGGTGGGTGGGGGGAGCCTCTTCTATAAGAAGTAAAACCTGACACTACATGGTAAACCTGATGAAAATGTGACTTACTTGGTGCCAGCGAACATCTTCATCACCCCGAGACCAAAATGCCACTTCATCACACATTGTCTTGAGACATCTCCCACAGCATGCACCTCCTTTTTTGACATACTGATGTCCCTGGTGCAAGGGAGAGGAAAAAGAATACATATGGCAAAAAAGATATGAGCTGGAACTTCATTTTGCAAAGGCTAGAACAGGGGTGTCAAACATGCGGCCTGGGGGCCAGATGAGGCCCCCAGAGGGCTTCTATCAGGCCCACAGTGGAACTGGCTGTCTTCTGCTTCTTCTTCCAGTTCTGCGGCTGTTGCATCATTCTAGGTTTGCAGCTTACAGATACACACCTGAACAGCATACTCAAGATTGCAACAGCACAGACATTTTGATGTAATAATTCAGAGTGAGAGATGTCAGTTATCAAACACTGTTAAATAAACAAGATATTGCAAGAGTGCTAATGTTTTAAGCATGCTTTTATTTTAAGTAAAAATGGCTTACTTTTTTCTCTTCTCCTCCACTTTATCCTCAACAACAACCCTGTCAGGTAGGCTGGGCTGAGAAAAAGTGACTGACTCAAGGTCTCCCAGCGAGCTTCAGTGGTAGAATAGGGATTCAAACCTGCATTCCCCAGATCCTTGTCCAATACCCTGACCACTGCCCCACCCTGGCTCCACATATTTTTGGTCCCCATTGGAGCAAAAGACAGTGGCCTTCTGATGCCTTCTGGTGCGACACTGTCCAGTTAATATGTTTTATGCAAATCCTTTCTGCAAGAATTACTCCCCTTCCCCTCAAACATGAGTTCTCCTTAAAATCCATGTCTTTTTGATCTTTATTACTTCTAATGGCAAGGCCTTTTACGCTCAAACCGAACAGTCGAATCCGACTCTAGGGTTGCGGTGCTCATCTCCGTTTCAAAGCCGAAGAGCCAGCGCTGTCCGAAGACATTTCCGTGGTCATGTGGCCGGCATGACTAAACACCAAGGCGCACGGAACGCTGTTACCTTCCCACTGAAGTGGTACCTATTTATCTACTTGCAATTTCTTGCTTTTGAACTGCTAGGTTGGCAGGAGCTGGAACTAGAGACAGGAGCTCACTCCGTCATGCGGCACCCGGGTCTCGAACTGCTGAACTACCAACCTTCGACAGCCTTCAGTTCAGCATCTTAACCACTTGAGCCACTGCAGTCTGAAATACTGGAGATTAAATTGATAGCTTTCACGTCCTGTCTCTCTATGCTATGAATATATCATGTCCAAAGCACGTGGTGTGAACTCCCTAGCTTCACTGATCAAAACCCTAGTCCAAAGAATGGAAAACAGTCAATAGTTAAACTTAATTCAGTCTAATAAATTCAGTCTAATAAATTAATAATTAATATTAATGTGCTGATTAATTAACATATAATTGGGGGATGGTCAGAAACCAAAGCACTCTGCATTAGCAGCGACCTAGGTTCACCACTCCCAGAAAGCATAAATTAAAAGCATGCTGACAAATAAAAATGTCCTTTTCTTTGTGCAGGGCTTCAAAGGTGCCACTTTCTGTTATAACAGAAATTTGATTTGGACAGATGCATGTAGAAATCAAAAGGAAGAATCTCCCAGAGACATTAAAGTGTGGTCATCACTCCTCCTAGTGGCTGACCCAGCAACTGCAGCACAACAGGTTATCCTTAGTAAAGGCTCTTCTGGATAAGTAGCTTGTGGGATTTGCTTGTTTCTTTAGAGCAGCCAGATGCCCCACCTTTTGCCTGAGGCAGCCACAGCCCAAGGCAAGTAACAACAGCAGAAGCAGTTTAAAAAATAACCTGTTACAATAACTAAAATGCATTAAAAACAGATAACCCAGAGCCCACTCAACCTGCCCCATAAGCTCCTGTAAATAATCACAGTTGACAGTCTCACCAGAAGGCCCCAAGGATAGGTACCTGCCTCATCCATTCCAGGAGGCTGTTCCATAGCAGTGGGGCAGCAACAGAAAAGTCCCAGGCCTGGGCTGTAACTAGGTTGCCAGACTCCAGGTGGGGCCTGGAGAGCCCCCCGAATTACCTCCGACCTCCAGACTGCAGCGATCAGTTCCCCTGGAGACAATGGCTGCTTTGGACATTGGGATCCATGGCATGTATACCCTGCTGAGGTCCTTCGTCTCCCCAAACTGCACCCTCTCCAGGCTCTACCCCGCTCCCAGTCTCCAGGAATCCCTGAACCCAAAGCTGGCAACCCCAGTAGCAGATTGTATCCTTGGATGAAATGCTAGGAGACTTTCAAGACACCCTGCTGAAGAGTTTGCCTAACACAGCCCATCTTGCTTGCCAAAGAAGGGGAAGATGAAGTCACGCTTCCCTTTAGCAACGGTGGACTGTTACCGACTACTCCTACTATTAGCAATAGGAGGAGTGCATTACGGAATGGGATCCGGTTGCTCCAAAAACGCACTCGTAGTTGTGCCACTCTGCCACCGTTTTAGCCAGTCTCAAGGGTTTCGCGGTGGTGCTACCTGGGGGGGGGGGGTATGGTGAAATTATCAGACGACTGCTTTGTGGTGGACTCCATGCTGATCACACTCACATGCATGTTGACCAAGGGATGACCAAGGGGTAAAAGGAGTACTGAAGGATGATAGGGAAATGGCTGAGAAGCTAAATGCATTTTTTGCCTCCGTCTTCACTGTGGAAGATGAGAACTGCTTGCCCACTCCAGAACCGCTGAGTTCGGGAGGGGTGTTGAAAGACCTGAGTCAGATTGAGGTGACGAGACAGGAGGTCCTAAAACTGATAGACAACTCAAAAACTGATAAATCACCTGGCCCAGATGGCATACATCCGAGAGTTCTGAAAGAACTCAAATGTGAACTTGTGGATCTCCTTACAAAAATATGTAATCTTTCCTTGAAATCTGCCTCCATTCCTGAGGACTGGAAGGTAGCAAATGTCACTCCCATCTTTAAAAAGGGTTCCAGAGGAGATCCGAGAAATTATAGGCCAGTCAGTCTGACATCGATACTGGGTAAATTGGTGGAAACCATTATTAAGGAAAGAATTAGTAGGCACATAGATGAACAAAACCTATTGAGGCACACTCAGCATGGGTTCTGTAAGGGAAGATCTTGTCTCACAAACCTGTTAATGTTCTTTGAGGGGGTGAACAAACATGTGGACAAGGGGGATCCAATAGATATTGTTTACCTTGACTTCCAGAAAGCTTTTGATAAAGTTCCTCATCAAAGGCTCCTAAGTAAGCTCAAAAATCATGGGATAAAAGGACAAGTCCTTTTATGGATCAAAAACTGGCTAATTAATAGAAAACAGAGAGTGAGTATAAATGGGCAGTTCTCTCAGTGGAGGGGGGTAAGCAGTGGGGTACCACAGGGATCAGTACTTGGTCCACTGCTTTTTAACTTGTTCATTAATGATTTGGAGTTGGGAGTAAGCAGTGAAGTGGCTAAATTTGCGGATGATACAAAGTTGTTCAAGGTGGTGAAAACCAGTGAGGATTGTGAGGCACTCCAAAGGGATCTGTCAAAGATGGGCAAGTGGGCGTCAACATGGCAAATGGGGTTCAATGTGGCCAAGTGCAAGGTGATGCACATTGGAGCCAAAAATCCTAAATATAAATACACATTGATGGGGTCTGAACTGGCAGAGACAGATCAAGAGAGAGATCTTGGAGTTGTAGTAGATAACTCACTGAAAATGTCGAGACAGTGTGTGACTGCAATAAAGAAGGCCAATGCTATGCTGGGGATTATTAGGAAGGGTATTGTAAACAGATCAGCCAATATCATAATGCCGCTATATAAATCAATGGTGCGACCTCATCTGGAATACTGTGTGCAATTCTGGTCACCACACCTTAAAAAGGATATTATAGCTTTGGAAAAAGTGCAGAAAAGAGCAACTCGAATGATAAAAGGGTTGGAACACTTTCCCTATGAGGAAAGGTTAAAGCGCTTAGGGCTCTTTAGCTTGGAGAAAAGACGACTGAGGGGTGACATGATCGAGGTTTATAAGATTATGCATGGGAAAGAGCAGGTAGAGAAAGAGGTACTTTTCTCCCTTTCTCACAATACAAGAACCCGTGGGCACTCCATGAAATTGCTGAGCGGTCGGGTTAGAACGGATAAAAGGAAGTACTTCTTCACCCAAAGAGTGATTAACACATGGAATTCACTGCCACAGACAGTGGAAGGGCTTCTAATGTCCTGGCCCCACTGGTGGACCTCCTGATGGCACTGGTATTTCTGGCCACTGTGTGATACAGAGTGTTAGACTGGATGTGCCTTTGGCCTCTCTTATGTTATGTTCTTATACTAGAAGGGTTGTGGTAAATCCATCCAAAGCTACCAGGAAGGCAGGTGACATTAGCAGCAATTACAGCAAGGGTGGGGGTTGAGCTGTTGGGGAATCTCTACCTTCTCCAGCCTCCATTGCCTGTAGAGACAGCTGATGGAAGAAAGTTCCCTTGAGGATTCTACCCATACCAAGGAAGACTGGGTTATATGCAGGCATATCACGAGAGCAACGTATGAACCAGCCCTTTGTCGAGGCGTTAATTGCATGAAATGTTGGGTCTCTAATTTGAACCTAAGGCATAGGTGATATGGTAAAAATACAGCCAACCGGACAGTTTCGTTAATGGAATGGCATTTCCGTAGGCCAAAGAGGTGTCGACCACTTCTGCCGATTCCCTCCCCCACTACAGACACCCCCCCCCCCACCCCCTCTGCTTCCCTATACTGCCCTTGAGGGTCTGCTGATGATAAGAGCAAAATCTGGTGAGCTGCCACCAGGGGATGCAGAAAAGCATCATGACGAGAAGTTCACCGGTGGTTTGAATACATTTGTCCCCGAATAACACAATCCACAATCTCTGTGCCTTGTTAGATAAAGCAAGGAAATGTTTTAACACCCACCCACCAAATATTAAGATATACCTTTGAAGTATTTTTTTTTTGGGGGGGGTACTATAAAGCACTCACAGAGCCTTACATTTTAACATTGTAAGAGCAGATTATTAACGATGGGTTGGATCCAGGCTAACTTTCCCATCAGAGGAACCAAACTCCCCTGCCTTCCTCCCCTCCCACTGCAGCCCACCTACCTCCATAAGAACATAAG